GTCGACTAGGGAAACTGATGTACCATGGTTTCCCTAGTCGACCCCATCGCCTGAAGGAGACTTGCAGTAAGCAGTCGAAACGTCGCGTTCTACATCCAGTGACTTTGTCGTGAGACAACAGAACAAATTTATATCATCAGTTGTACTAATGTTTGAAAAACTCATTTTCGCCTTCGTCTCCTGATTTCGGCTTCGTACCCTTCATTAAGTGGTAAGCGCGTTGTAAAAACTGTCAAAACTGAGATCTAGAAATGTTTTAGAATGAAATACTGCTAAAAGCAAGTTTTTCGAGGTTTTCGCAGAGCGCGTTTGTTATCACTTTCAGTTGTTCCTTTTGTCTTTTACCTCTCACATGACATCTAACGAAGGTGTGATTTTTTTTCATTGCTTTAAGATAATGTGAACAGAGTTATGAACCGAATATTATTAATCGGTGCTCAAAGCGTGCTTTTATAAAGTTTGTCTAGTTTTTCAAAGCGCCTCAAAGTTACATTGTCACGATGGGATTTCAATTGGGTTGTCTGCTAGGAGGCGATTTATAGCGCGAAAGCAAATTATGGGAGGCGACTGCCCAGCGTTTTATGCGCAGTAAAAAAAATAAGACAATTTTCGTGGCGCGAAATTTGATTGCCCTTCAATGATCCTGGATTCCATTGAGTTTTGGTTTACTTCGCTCTTTGATTGGTTTCTAAACACCATCTCAACCAATCAAATGGAAAACTGAAACCAGTCCCAACGCGGTCACTCGCGTTTTCCCGCGCTTCAAGAAGGTTGCCTGTTTTTACTTATCATTGGTTGATGACAATGATAACCTTTGTCTCAATAGGTCGTGGTGATTACTTTCTGATTACAACTGAAAACTTCTCCATCACCTGTTAGCTGGAGAATTAATCATAGGAAGTAGCGTGTGAATCTGTTATGAGAGTACCAGAGGAAAAGAACGGGGAGCTTGTATTGAGTCACACAGACAAAGTTAACTTGATAATTTTTTTTTCTTTTTAATTTTTATACAAAAAAGCTCCCTGGAATTCACTAAGTGGAGGCAATGTCCAAATAGGGCTCACCACCATGGGGTACTTGCGACCAGCAGAATACCTGGACCGCAGATTGTCTTTGCAAACGGTAGTTAATGACAAAATATAAATATAAAAAGCAAAGCCTCTGAATACATTGGTGTTTGTTATTGATGAGTAATTTCGGCTGTGGCTATGAGACCAAAGCATTGTTGTCCTTTATCATTTGGAAACTCAAGAAAACCTTACCAAACAGAACTTTTTATTTTCTCAAGGCTAAAGGCCTGAAAAATCATATCGCTCCAAGTACTTTTTCTGAGGAAAAGTTTCATGATCTACTTAGGCGACCCCCATGCTGTACAATAAAAAGTTCTATAATAGTTTCATCTGGACGATATTTCATTTCACGTAGGTATCTATGTTTCGATTACTCCAGCATTTACACGTTTGTACTTGGCAAGAGCATTCCACCTACATCTTCACCCCCTATACGGTCATCGTTCTTCGCCTCCTTGTTTATTAGCATTTTACACCACTGTATCACACGTTACCATCTTATGCATAGTTGTGGTATAGAATACTAACCCTCGCCGTTGTGGTTAATCAAAAGATTGTTAGTTTTTGTACAGTTTTTCTCTGACTGATTTGATCAGTATGCGAATCTGTGAAAGTAAGAACATTTCAAAATTTGATTGATGCCATATATTTTTGATTAAGGGAGATTTAATTGTTTTTTTTTTTTGTTTGTTTGTTTTTAGTTAGCTGAGTAGTTTTAGTCAGCGGTCGCCAGTGGGGTTGATTAAAAGATTGTGCGATGTATTGTTTTTTTCTGACTGATTTAATTAGTATGCGAATCAGAGAAAGTTAAAACGGTTCAAAATTGTATTGATGCCACATAGGTTTGATCACGGGAGCTTTGATTTGTTTGTTTTCTTTTCGCTTTTACTTTGCTGACTATTTTGAATTAGTGGTCCACGATGTATAATACTGGGTTACCAGTAATTATGTCACCCTTATGACGTCATTCCTTTGAAGGGTCATTTTGTTTCTACTCTTTTTGTCAAATAACGACACTCGTATGCATTGTAAAGATGGGATCAAGCACGTGACGAAGGAGACTTGGAACCACCGTAGATCGTTGCTAAGCTACCGACGTTCCTAATGTTTACCACACTTGTTGACCTTTACTGTTATTGTCACCTAAAGTGATCATACCACTGACCAAACACTCTTTGATGTTTGAGAACTGTATTTTGATTCCAAACAAATCTTTACATTAAACAAAAATGGCGACCAAAACCAAAACCAAAGCCAAAGAACAACAACACGAGGTCTCGAATTACGTCATTATCACCTGATGTCAATCGTAGGTACGTAAAGCGTACAAATTGAACTAAAACAATGTAGTTATAGTCGCGACATTCTCCCGCCAGTGTTCACGTAATCCTTTACGGTGGACACTCCTCCAACAAAGCTAACTTCGCGACAGGCTCCTTATACAGACCATACTTTGTCTTCACTTCACAAACACGGACCTTGTCATCCTTCCCAGGAAAGATCTTTGTGACGCGAGCAAGGGGCCAATCTCCTCTTTGGGTTTTCTCGTCCACGACCAAGACCAAATCACCAATATCGAGGTTGTACGATGGCAAATTCCACCTTTTCCTTTCAGTTAGGGTAGGTAAATACTCTTTCAGCCATCGGCGCCAAACCTGATCAACCATAACTTGTACTTGTCTCCAACGTTTCTTGCTTGATGTTTCCTTGTCAGAAAATACACCACAGGGCAGCACTGGATTAGCACGAGAAATAAGGAAATGATTCGGAGTAATTGCTTCAAATCCACTGTCACTGCTCGCCTCAGTAAGAGGTCTACTGCTTACCAGAGCTTCTGTTTCCGCAAACGCAGTTTCCAAAACTTCATCTGTAACTACCTACCATGAAGCACCACTTTGAGGGCTTTTTTACAGGACTGAACCAAGCGTTCCCAAATCCCACCAAAGTGGGGGGAAGCAGGAGGATTAAAGTGCCTCTGAATATCCTTCTGAGACAGGTAATCTGAGATCTGAGACTGGTTCCACTCTTCTAGACTTCGCTTGAGCTCTCGATCGGCTTCGACAAAGTTAGTACCATTGTCAGAATAAATGTCTGATGGTGGCCCACGTCTTGCAATAAGTCTTTTCAGCGCATTGATAAATGAGTCAGTCTCCAACGACTTAGCCACCTCAAGGTGCACAGCTCTGGTAACTAAACAGGTAAAGAGACATCCATAGCGTTTTTCTTGCTTACGCGAGTACTTGACCATGATTGGCTCAAAATAATCTACACCAATCTTAGAAAAGGGTGCAGCCACTTGCAACCGATCTTTCGAGAGGCTTGCCATCAGAGGAGGTTGTGGCCTGGTTCTTCTTCTCTTGCATAATGAGCAGTTGTTAAGGACCTTTCTCACTGTAGACCTAGAATGTGGTATCCAATACAACCATCTGAGCTCATTCCGAACGTGCTGTGTGCCTTCATGGTTAAGCTTATTGTGGCAATCCATGATCACAAGACGACACAGCTGATGATCTTGAAGAATAATTATTGGGTGTTTGACATCATAACACACTGCTGCACGGTCGATCCTCCCGCCAACTCGGAGGATGTCACTTTCATCTAAGAAAGGGGTCAACGTCCTCAAGCGACCTTTCATTCCAACAGGTTTGCCACCACTTAGGTTACAGATGTCAGCTGAAAATACTTCTCCTTGGGCTGACTTGATCCACATCAATTTTGCGTTCTTAATTTCTTGAACCTCCAACGGGCCAATTTTCATTTCCATTTTCTCTTTTCTTGCTTTTGCAATTCTCGATGAATCGCTTTACATAAGCAGTAATTCGACAAAGTTTAACAAACGACGAGTAACGAGACAAGTCGATAAACTGAGGGTTGAGTTTCCAACCATCCACAGCTGACATGAAGGTTGCACCTGGTACTTCGGGTACTTCGCAAGTCACGTCAGGAGCAAACATTGACTTCGGAATATCTTCAGGCCACTGATCTTCTGACAGTAGAAGAAATGATGGTCCATTTAACCAGCGACAGTTCGGAGTAATCGAATCTGCCTTCAGGCCACGACTGCCATCATCTGCAGGATTGAGTTTACCAGGGCAGTGACGCCATTGTTGCGGCTCTGAAGTATCAAGAATTCCGGAGAGTCTGTTGGCAGTGAAAGCAGGATGACGCTTTGACTCTCCACGAATCTGACCAATAACAGCACTGCTGTCACTCCAATAATAGGTAGAAGACACCTCATAGTCATGTTCTTTCTGGGTTATACATGCTAGCCGCACACTCAGAACTGCTGCTTGCAATTCCAGTCTTGGGAT